GTATTAATACATAAATAATATTTGGTCTACTACAGTACTTCGTACTAGTAGTACAGTATTAATAGTATATATAATAGTATGCCGGAATTTCATTTTACAGTTAATATTATTAACAGTTGGAAAATATCGTTCAAAACTGTTTCGTCCTAGAAAAAGCTTGCCAAGTCGCGACATTCTTGGCAGTGTCCACATTGAGCTACTTGGTGAGTCCTGCGGTACTGGCTGGCTGACACATGATGATGCGTCTGGACGTCCTTCTTGTGCTGTGTTTGTGTGTATGTGGTGCCAGTGCGTCATCTTCGATCCGGGACGTGGACGCGTTCGAACTCGACCCGACGTCTGTCACGCACGGGCAGTACAAGCTTGTGGCGGTCCATCCGCACGATTCCGATGCGTTTACGGAAGGACTGCTCTTCCACGACGGCGTGCTTCTCGAATCCACCGGACTCGACGGCAAATCGTTCGTTCGGGAGCACAATGCGACTGAGTTTGGCGTGCACGTGAACGAGTTCAGGTTTCCTCCGGACGTGTTTGGCGAGGGCATCGCCGTTCTAAACGACAAGATCTACGCGCTCACGTACAAGGCCAAGGTCGGGTACGTTTTGGACCGACGTACGTTCAAACTCCTCGACACGTTTCGCTTTGACACGACCACGGGCGAAGGCTGGGGCATGACCACCGACGGCCACAACCTCATCGTGAGCGACGGGTCGGCTACGATCTTGTTCTTGGACCCGACGAACGACATGCACGTCATCCGCACGATCACCGTGACCGAGACAGACGGGTCGGAAGTCCGAAACATCAACGAACTCGAGTACGTCCACGGCGAATTGCTGGCCAACGTGTGGTTCACCAACTCGATTCTGCGCATCGACGTCGCCACGGGGCATGTCAAGGAGAGGCTGAATCTGGACCACCTGCCGACGCTGGAAGGCCACGTGGAAGGCATCCAAGGGCCCCTGAAGAACGACGCCGTCATGAACGGCATTGCGTTCAACCCGATAAACCAACACGTATACGTCACGGGCAAGCTTTGGGACTCGATGTTTGAACTCGACTTGAACGTCCCGCGACGCCATATCCGCCGCCACTCGTATTAACGCGAGTCAAGGATGACGGACGAAGGGGTTGATGATGGACCCTGTCGTGATGGAGCTCGTTGATGAGGCCAGCCGACGACATCATGATGGGGAAAAAAGGTTGGGGGCGTTCTATTGTCAAGTTCATGTGAAGGACTACATGGACAAGCCATGGAAAACCAAGCACCATCGTTCAAGTCGACAAATATTGGTCGGGTTGAGAGCATCGATTAGGATTGTAGGACGAA